ACACACACACACACACACACACACACACACACACACACACACACACCACACTCCACACTCACACTCACACTCACACTCACTCACACAATTTATTTCTTCCATATCCTAAGTTAGCAGAAAATATAATTGTTATTGTTAACTTTTACTGTTTCATTATTGATAGATCAAGAGAAATTAAGGTTATATATATTGTGCAAGTGCATAATGGGTAATGCTAGATATTGATGTCAATAAGAAAGTAATGCCATTTACAAGTGGAATAGATACATATTTCATGTATAGCTCCAAACATCTGGAATATGCAGGGAGACAATGTCAAAATATTTAGCTTTTTTCAGGAGCTATTTTCAAAGGGAGACGTTAAAATATTAATGGTAGAATAGGTGAATTTCAGTATTGTTAAATTAACATGGTTACTATGCTATTGTATTATGCAGTAGTATTCTGATTGGAAAATTGTGAACATATTACGTCTTCAATCACCAAGCTGAGTCCAAGATAATTTAATCTGAGAGTTGTAGAATTTGACCAATTAAAGTTTGACAAAATGAAGCGTCATAGGGGTTTGTTTATTTTTGGTTGATTTTCAAAAAAGTGAAATGTTACATTATTGGTTGATTGTGCAATAATTTTCAAATCTGTATGTAAGTTATATTTCTGTGATATATGATTACTTTATAATTTTTAATGGATCTTTTTGGGGCTAATTTTAAGACTGTATAAACTATAACATAAAATTTAGCATTCATTTCTGTAGATGGATAATAGAAATAATGTGTACAAATGCAGTAATATACATAAGATTAAAGAAAAATAAAAGTTATTCTAAAGATGATCTCTTTCTTATCCATATTACACAAAACATAGTTTCATTTAAGGCAGAAGTGGCGTGACTGATTGTGTCATTGACACAAAATTATTAAAAAGAATCTTCCAGAAGGAATGTAAAAAGGAGGGCATACACTGATTCTCTTTAGCAGACCCATCAATGGACTATATAGACTGAATCAGGAGCTTAAACCAAGATGGATAAGGTTGCCTCATGAAAGACATGACTAGTTTGTGCAGCACAAATCTGTGTCTACCTATCTTCACCAATATAACTTGTATATCCATAAGGCAATAGTTTTTTCTTTTCTTTTCATTATTTTCAGTTATTTCTATTGTTAATGTATACTTTAGTAGGTTTTTTATATTGTTTATAGTCATACCTTCAAGCCTGCATATTATTCACCAAAAAGGTCACGAGAAATAAAAGGTCATTTATTTTCATTCTTTATGAACAAAAAGGCTCCTTACAAGAATACTCCCCAAGGTCTGGGGATAGGAGAAACAAAATAGTAAAAATTGTTGAATGACTGTAGCCATTCACCATTATTTACTGATATATATCATTATATTGATGTCTAACTAACCTCAGTTCCTAAGTGTGATCTGTATTTTCTTCCAGGAGCTGAGAATGTTTTCTTACATTTGTAAAAAGAAATAAAATAAAATAAAACAATAGGCAATATATTTAGTGCTTGAGATGGTTATATTTTCAATACACAAATCTGATGCAGGTTTAAAAAATAAAACTGGTGTAGAGTAACTTTCAAATTTTTCATTTTATTATATGAAATTCCATACACAATGATGTACAAAACATAGCAGGAAGACCAATAATACCAATGTGGTATAGTGCCACACCTATTACACAAAAAGTAGTGAATACGATATACAATATCCATGCTGATTTTCCTTTTCCTTACTAAAAATACTGATACATGGGAGAGAGAATTTTCCAAAAATAACATTGTATATACAAGCCATATAATCCTTAAATGAAAGTTAAATCTGGATCACATATACTATCTTTGACAGAAATGAAGTCTAAAAATTACCTGGAAAAGGTGTTTTCTTTCTCCAAAGAATTTTTCTACATATCAACAATAAGTGATGGCTCTGTGAGTGTGATAGCTAAATGAAGATGATGGCACCATGTGTGAAAAATGAAAGATAAATTTAAAAACACCTCCTGATATAAACCTCACATATACAAAGCCACAGTAATAATGAGTAAAGGGGACCTGGCATGGGAAGGGATGCACCAAACGTGTAAGAATTGTCACTTGAACCACATTGTCCATCTACTAGGTTATTTTTAATGCATTATTTATTACCAATTAATATTTTATTTCAACTAACTACTGTTGATACAATTCATGAGGCTCAACAAAAGACAACACTTACATACTTTTGTGCTCCATATACATGTGATTTTGTTAAGGCATACTTTAAAATAAATACAAAGAGATGGAATGAAAACCACACCAGTCTTCTACCCCTTTGTTAAAGAGCAATTACTGTTAGATGCCACTTCTTAAACTCTTATAATGTTGAATGTTACAGTCCATTCACAAACTCTTCTAAAATCTCTAGATTTCTCTTTAAAGCATAATTCGCACAAGTTAGCTGCCAACCCCATCATAATATTTTGGCAGGCAGATACTTAGCAAAGGCTAATTTCATAAAACAAACCTAAAAACGAGAGTTCAATCTTTACTTCCAAGTATACAAGAAAAAATGCTGGCAAACTGTTATGCATATTGCCAAATCAAAGCTTAAGCTGGACAAATTTGCACTGAAATTTACTAGCATAAATGCAGAGACTATAGAAATGCTTTGTGAATAATTTGTAGGTTATCTCACAAACCATGTACAGGTGCATGTGCTGTGTGAATAAAAAAAAAAAATTCTGCTCTATATCTGCTCACTCAAACCTCTCCTAATGCCCTTGTCTAGAATAAACTATGTCTTCTTTACACAAATGATAGTGAGCTGTATATTATCAGCAGACTATGAGACAAACATGTCATGATACATTCAAAGAAAGCTCAGCTATATATAAGTATATATACAAGAAAAGAAAAATACTTGTTTTCCCTGAATATGCTACTTGCGACTAGCATATGCATGTATGTATGTGTTTGCGTGTGTACACAATGATATGTGAAAGTGTTCTTAGCACATGTATGTGTTAATGTACTATAGATTAGCTGTCATCTGCATATTTGTTAATGCTTGCATTTTATTCATGTAAATATTATATGGTTCACATTTGATTTTCCAAACAAGCGCCATTAATATTGACATCACTACTCGGTACTTCTTATAATGTTTAAATGCAATATATAATTTCAAATTGGTATCATTCATGCATACAACACTTATCAGAATTAAAATGTTGGGTACACCTACATACCACATTCTTGAAAACTTCTGTAATTCATTTGTATTGGGAAAAGGAGAAAAATTAATGCTAAAGAAAGATATTGGGAAAAGGAGAAAAATTAATGCTAAAGAAAGAAAAAAAACAAAAGTAAGAAGATGGAAGAGAGAAGTGAAAGGAATGAAAAGAGCAAGGAAAGAAGGAAAATGCTTGGCACAAATATTACTTTTAAAATCACAAACAGAAGAAACTCCACACTGTATTTTGATATGAAAATGATAATCTGTGCAACTACTAATATCCATTACTTTATGTAATTCATGATATGGTATTATCAACATACTTTTAAAAAATGGATTTCAGTGGGTCTCAGCAAACCACAATAATGCAGTATATCCTATTGTAAAGAACAATGGAACAAAATTTCACACTAAGGTGGTCTTTGTTTTCCAGACTGTGCATAGGATAGCAGGCAATGGGGAAGTCTTACTGAACAAAGCTACAAAAAGAATGTCTGGTACGGTTATAGCATATATACACAAATTTATGCACAAAGTAGCTATAGTTCATCTTGAGGAATGTAAAATAAAAATTAATTTAAATGCAAGATATGCTGCATTATGCTGTAAAATTGTATATAACCAATGAAATACACTTTTTACAAATTGATATCAGAAATATGTATACATATATAAATACATCCACATACATATCCTGATACTTCATCATTAAAATATTTGGCAAGTAAAAATCATATTTCTCTTGCCCTTTTAACTTTGTGTAAACTTAAGAAGAACAATGGCATTATCAATATTCTTATTATCAGCCTGAGTGTACATGGCAAAACACAATGCTGCTTTCAGCATGACACAAAATAATGCTAATACTTATACAGACCATGACTTGAAAATCAGAATTTGTTACTTCACTGGCAGAGTTGTGTAAAACTTTTCTCTGATACTTATAAATAAAAGTACTTAATAAGAAAACAAAGACTAAAAATCTTTCTAATATTACTATACACTCGTCTAGCATTAAAAGTAGGAAAACATCCAGTCTTGTCATAGAATTTAAAATAAGCTGCTACATACCTTCCACTGGTCTATCAACACCCAGTCAGACACCTTTAGGCATCTTAAGTGTGAAATATAAGTAGATGGAAAAAAAAAAGACTTCCACTGATACATTATCATCTGAAATAAATTACTTAAAGTATATCAAGCTTAAATTCAAACACTTTGAAATTCTATCCTCGTCAGAGTCTCACATGCATGCACATTCCCTGAAATAATCACTAAGAATTAACTAGAGTATTAACTACTGAACATGCTAACATTCACATGGACGGCATGTATGGCAATGCAGAATATCTGGTTTGTATTGAAAATAACACTACACACACATAAGTGTTATTAGGCAAGGCTAAGGCATCATTAATTATACTACTCTGTTTTGTACTGAAAACTTGCCATTGTGCTGAGAATCACATTCACTTGAAAAAACGTGGTCCTCTACCGAGATTCAAATCTTCCTTGCAGGAAAATTCTTGTACCCAAAGTGAAAGACCTCCACAGAAGTAAGCTTGCTTTTATCAACAAAGGCAAGGATCACAGAACTTTTAAGTAGTGAGGCAGTCTTTGGAAGAGAGATCTAAAAATAAATCATTAGTTGGCTGCTAGTCTGTTATGGACTGCTTTTCACTCAAACTCCAACTGGGACTTTATCCCCAATCCGGCTTGGTTTCTTGTTTGCCTGATAGACTAGAGATGGTGAGGAAGATGAACCCAACTCAGAAGTCATTGTCATTGCAGTTATCATCCATCTTGAAACATCTTGTTATCTCTTCACCGCTGTTCACCGAGTATTTGAGATCCACGTTTAGGAAGCGATGGTTGGTTAGATCCTGCGTGATGTGGAGCTCCCCCTTGACCTGGTTATCTTGCTCAAGGGGAACTGTGGCCAGTGGCAGCACAGTGTTCTGCCAGTGCGTATCTTCATTGTCAGGTGAGGTTGAGAGTTTCATTCCACCAGGGAACCAAACGTCGAACCACATGACCATACTGTTCAGTCGCCCAGAGCCAATGCTGGCCAAGTTGAAAGAGTGTGAAATGTTCCGCAGGTCTTCTGCCTTGACAGTGTTCAGATCCAAGTCACAGACAGGAGTTGGGAAACTAAGCACATCTTCTTGAGCTACCATGTGAACATGAACAACATCTGCAAAGAAGGATTGTACAACTATACAATTCACTGTTCAAAATTATCATTGCACAGAATCATTAACTGGGGAGTGAATACAATATCACACAAAAATAAAATCAAAACAGTGTAATGC